GATGTCCAGCCTCCTTTAAGCTACATAAGGACAGGTTTTGATAGGTGCTCACATGTAGTGAATATTCCAACATCTCCTACTCCCATGGGTTGTGTGCACTGCCGCTCTTCAAAGCGCCCGCTTTGAATTCAATCTATGCCCCGCGTCTACTCAAGCAGACATATCTATGAGTTCTAATGCGGGGTGCAGGAGGATAAGCTCTTTCGGTTTCACTCATGTGCTGTGACACCATGCAACTTGCAACAGTCAATCTGTAGTAGAACCAGCCATCCACTCGCGTGAAACAAGGAGGGCGAGTAGAACCAGCCTGAAGTGCTTTCGGCTCGACCTGGCACGGTAACTCTGGACGGACCAGCATGCAGTGGTTCATGTTCCCCAGCCTTTTACATCGCAGGTCACATTCACAAGGACTTTGTTGACTCTGAAGATCCATTTGTCAATACTAGGCAAAACATCAACTCCACAGCACACAGCAATGAAATAAATGCAAGGGCATCGCTACTAGGAACAAGAAGCTACTAGTAGCAAATGGTATTACTAGTAGTAGCTCCTCTCTCGTAGTAACAAGGGCATCGCTACTAGTAACAGGGGCATTGCTACTAATAGCAAAAATCTACTAGCATGCATCTCCCGCATTTTGGGACCTTCGGGCTCCCATCAATTTTGGCAGAACTAGCAGTGCTCAGTCCTGTGGCACTAGCACTGCTTTCGTAAAAGTGAAGGTTCACGTACTTCGTGTTGAGGTCAACACGTACCAAGCATCAAAACCTTTTTCATGTTCTGTCTTTGACAAGAACTATTTTGCAGATGCCAAGATGAATGCACTCTCCAAACTCTTGAATCGAGGTATTCAGAACATGTACAGTACACCGTGACACGGTTTGCAACAGTGCTTCTTCAAACAAGTCTACTCGCTCGCCCTTGCCATCCCTCTCCTCTGAAAGGAGACATTGGTTCACCTTCCTCGTCGAAGTAGACTCGGCGGCCATCTTCTGTCCATCGCAAATTGAACTTCTTGAAACTTCTTTTCATCCTGGACACTGTAGACGCTTGTTTGAACACCGGAGTCGGCTGAGCGAAAACAGTTGTTTTCAGAAACATCTGATTTATCTGAGGCAATGGTTATGAACGTAGAAGCGCACGGGCCCGCCGAACATCAATTCTACGTCAATTCCAGTTTGATGAGCCACGCAGGTCATCATAAAGGGGCCACCGGCAGTTTTTATACATCTGCATTGCACAGGAAGTATCAGGCAGTGACCAAGTCTTCAGTAGTACAATCCCGGGCACAGGCTTCATGTTGAGTGTGTTCGAATACAACAAGTGAACGTCCCCTCTATACTATGCAACATTTATATGCATGATTAGCTCAGTGGACAAGAACGGAAAATTCCCAATGACAATTCCTCGGCAGTCTTCGGCGGGTCGGTCGCGTGAGAGTCGAAGCATCACCCTGGTGTGCAACTTGTGTAAGTATCAAATCTTAAAGTGCCAAAATGACATTACATCTTACGGTTGCTGTAATAAATACAAACACCAAATGCCAGGGAACAGAAGAGAGTCCGTCATTGTCCATTGAAGGAAAATGGAAGTTCATGGAAGTTCACATTGATCATCGACCTCTGACCTCTGGAGAAGTTGGTTACGATAAACCATGTGAAGCCTCCAAGTAGTTCATGCAGGCTATGCTACTTGAAACACCTTGAAACTGTAGGCAATGGCCTTTGCTCCACGACCTTCCACATATGCTCATGCAGCTTCTGGTCAGTATGGCAGACTTCCACCATCTGAGTCTGAGTCGCACCTTCCGGTCCATCTCATCGATTCCGAGTTCCTGTGGACATACCGTGCACCACCAAGTGCCAGCTGCTAGGATTTGAACTTGTGTCATGCAAGTTTTTTCACAAGTTCACGCAGCATGTGTGAAAATCATGACCTTGCCCGAGTTTATTTCATCAAGAATCAACAAGGTAATACTTCTTTGTGGGGCTGGTGTCGTCCTTTGTTGTCGTTCTTACCAGCTGCTTCGGTCATATTTACCACATAATTACTGCAGCAATTCCGCAACCAATTGATTGCTAGGCCAGGCTGTTCAACAGTTCAATAGCTTCAATGAATCACGCGGAGACAAGGGAGGTTCATCCAATCGCCCTGAAAATGCTGCCTTCCTCAAGAAACCACAGACTATCACAACGTCCTCCTCTGAAGCGTAAGGATCATCGCTATCAAACTCAGAATCATCATCATAAGCATCATCCGTCTCCTGCATGCGACCCTAATTCTACCTGGTACTGCTATGGTTTTGGGTTATCGTTTAACATTAACATCTCTAATGTCACAATGGAATAACAGGAGTCATTGTGCTGACAGTCTGCCACTTGTCAAACTGCAGCAAGTTCGGGTTGAGGCAATGTGGAATTCTGTGTACGTACATACACCAACGACTGCAAGTGTTCGCCTAACTTGAATATACATACAGTATATATATATATACACACAGGAGCGAGGTGTGGAAGCAAGCCAAGTCTCGTCAGCACTACAGCTCCTCAACAATACTCTTGTTTGCTTCGACGAAAGCAGTGCTAGGAGCGCTCGGGGTGTCCTGCACTTTGCAGGCTGCAAACTTGCTCGAAAACAAATCAGCAAGACCTCTCTCATTGACGTTTTCATGGAGATTAACATCAGCCATGAGGAATGTTGGGACCTTGCAACTTAGTAGGAATCAAACAAGAAACAGAAACAGTAAAGCGAATGAACCTACCTAGGTAGCAACTCTTGAGGAAATCTGTCACCGACTTCGGGGAAATCCGCCACCGACTTTGGGAAAATCTGTCACCGACTTTGGGGAAATCTGTCACCGACTTTGGGGAAACCAGCCACCGACTTTGGGAAGCTCCGTTTTCAGGAAAAAATATCCGTTTTTGCAATCAATGATTCACTTTGCAAGTGTTCGTGCCATTCATCACATGCTGGGCTTGCACCTTTGACAGTGTCACATGCTCCTGAGAAAGTGCAAGTACATCTACCTCCGTCTCAGGTGCCATGCCCCTCGGAAAGAACTCTTGACATATCCCGAGCTTTTGCTTAAGGCTGGCTCTGCATGGCTCATATTGCTCAGTGGATTGCTGCTTAGTTTGCTGCCACAACCTGGTCGGAGTCCATTTCGGTACACTGACCTCACGAAATGGTACCTTTTCGGAATCAGGCCCTGGCGGCTGCGTATCAATACCTTGAATGACTGACACAAGAACACGAGGAGCGACAGCGACATGCGGAGTATGATACTCCAAATGAACGCTACTTCTCGAAATCATGCAAAATAGTCATATTAATATGCAACTGATATTATCAATATATAAATGCAAGAAGGAAGTGGAAAAAAACAAAGGAAATGGCAAGGATGCCATGTCGACAACTCCCCTATGGAGGCAAATGCCATAGTCAGTTTCTCATTGTGTTCACTTCAGATATATACTTTAATCAATATTGGATTTCCATTGGGTATCCTTGGGTCATTATGTCCAGCCGAAGCAGCCAGGGGTCAACCTGCAGCTGTGCTACGCTGGATGGTGTGGTGGACACCTGTAGACGGGCTGTCATTGCAGCTGAGAGCCCCACGCTTGGTCTCATAGCCCTTGAAAGCACCACGAGCTCGCAGCACTAAATGGCTCCTCTGTCCCCTGCGACTCTTGCGGCTCCGGTCACTCTGGTCGGAGCAGCGGCTCTCCCCCTTGGTGTACCCCAAACTTTGTCTTGTTGAAACCTATGCCCAACCGATGGTTTCACCTGCTGGGCTACTCGATGTCGCATCAAGCGCCTCAAAGCTAGAATCGCAGCTGCCAATGGAGGAGCGACCTGATGTTGCTTAGCACGCTCTGGATGGTGTTCCGATTCCATTTCCGAAATCTGCAAGTCTAATATGTTCCGATCATCTTCAAGAGATGTGCTGATGACCGCGCACTTCAATCATGGGAAAGGCACGGAACACAAGTCTTATGTGGAAACAGAACTCTTGTTGGCCTCTTGTCACTTGCATAGGGGAATGTAACCAAGATCGTGCAAATATATGCAAGTTTGACATAAACACCGATTTTGATTTTGGTAGATCAGGATCTTTCCATTCCACTTTTCCAACAGCCCCGGCTATGCTGCACTCAGGCAAATTGGTCCCTCGCGAAATGATTATTTTGCTTTTTTGAACATGTCAATGCATTTAAGAATATGTTATAACTCATGTGACACAGGCGAGAAGTATCTGGAAAATTCTACCGAAGCAGTTCTGCATCTTTGCATCATAGTTTTGCCAGGACCACCACATGAGCTTAAGCCTTCCTCAACTGCCCTTGGGGCAGGATTGGATTAAAGACTTTGAAAAAAGACGGTCCAGCGACAGCACTCTGACAATTCTGGTCGAGGCTTGACAGCAGGACTCGTTCTTCGTCACCTTTTTGGCTGGCTCAAATCGGTGCAATGCAAATCAGCAAAGCACCAAGAGAGCAAGAGAAGCACCACCCACACATGCCAGGACTGCATTGCCTGAACAGTACGCTTTCAATTTTCAACGCTCTTTCTTTTCAGTTACACTTGCCGGAAACCGGTATTATGTGTAGTGCTAAGCTAATTGAGTTCACAAGCGCGAAGTTAACGAGCCTTTTGACCAACCACATGGTTTTGGTGACCTTTGGTGACTGTCAGTGCTGGACTTGTCCAAACTGGCTCTTCAACAAGACGGCTGACGGCATCATGGTGTTTGCAAAGTCTCTTATGAGAAGCCCAGTTACCTCTTCTGGCTTTAGGGTCATCTGGCTCTGGTGGTCAACACTAAGCACTAGCTATTGCTTTTACAACAAACGAGAGCTGCACATCATTGATACACGCGTGCTGTCTGTCCAGTGGTCGCCTATCTTACACATGCCAGCCATACGAGAAAAAAAATCGTTTAGGTCTTCCCAGACCCAGGGCGGACTGCTCTTAAAGCCGTCCTGATTGCATTGGGTCCTTCAGTCGAGCGCAAGCTCTTTGGAGCTGCTCTGCTGCACCGTTGTCAAGCGCTTGTTGCCTGTGGAGAAGGTCACATGCCGGAAACCCTGTTCTTCAAAGGCCTCCGTGGTCGGTGCGGCAAGAGACGGTCACGCATGCAGGGTCCATGAGGGTCCGGTAGCTAGCCATGAGGGTCAGGTTGCTGTAGATCACGACAATTGGATGAAACAACAAATGCTTGGTCAAACGGTGGGACATTGGACACATGAGCAATCGACTTAAAACTACCATGGTTTGTCAACATTTGCAACGAACGCACCGAACTTCATGGAACGACAAACTGAATAGCAAACATTGCTGAATACAGTTGTAACAAGGTCTTGTTTAGATAGGCCCGCCTCTTGCACATCAACGTTCCCTCTCAGTGCTGATAGCACTTCGACGAACAACACCTGACGCTTGTTTGAGGCGCGGTTGCACGACAACACACACCTTGCAAAAACCGGACACAGCTCAGCAACACATTGACTGCAACAGACATCGCAACAATAGTCACCTGAAACAACATTGACAAAACTCAGTAAATAGTGCAACATTCAAAAACTTGCACACTTGATTCTGCCTGCAACCCTTGCAACATAAAGTCCAATGTAACGTATGGTAATATGAAATGATTTTCATTGATTTTCTACAAGAGAAGACCTGATAGAACCCCCCGAACCCGAATGCAAACACCGTCTACGCAAATACAAGTAGCAAAACATTGTTTGAAGATGTTTGAAGTTTTTTCACACTCTTGAAGCAGGGCATTCTGGGGTGACACTCTAGGACACGCTTGTAGAACACGCTCGTGTCACACTTATGACTTATGCCTGAAACTCTTGTGCGACACTCCTCCGACTGGACACGCTGGTGCCGTACACATGTCAAACACTCGCGTGCGACACTCTTGCTGGACACTCCTGTAAACGGCATTCTTCTAGGACACACTTTTGTGGGACAGTCTTGTGGACCACTGTTCTGGGACATTCTTGCGGGACATTGTTGACGCTCTTGTCGGACATTGTGTGGGACACTCTTGTGGATCTTGTGTAGGACACTGTCGTGAGACGCTGTTGTAGGACACTCTTGTAGGGCACTCTTGCGGCTCTTGGCGCATTCTTGTAAGGCATTTGTTGGACATTCTTGTGGGACACTGTTGTAGGGCACTCTGTTCGGGGACTGCTGTGGTGCAGTCTTGTAGGACACTCTTGCGGGAAACTCTTGCGGGGACAGTCTTGTGTCGCGCTCTTGTAGGACACTCTTGCCGGAAACTCCTGCAGGGCACTCTTGTATAGGACACTCCTTTGCCCTCCAAAAGCAAAGTGAAGCTAGGAAGCTTCATAAGAGCGAGCACAGCCAAGAAGTTTCACAACCCAAGCCCCTCTCGAAAGAGCAGCCGCTGACATGCCAAACCAAATGCCGTAACGACACTCACCTGACAAATGTTGCAACCTCACGATTCCTACAGTAGCACCTGCCAGGCAAACACACTGTTGGAACGCTTTCGACAAATTGTTGAGCCCTCAAGGCGCGAATTGACCTCAGACTTGTCACTAACAAATCAGCACAGCGACATTCAACACGTCGAAGCCACCCTGCGAACGCCACATGTGATGGCGACACAAGGTGATAACGCAAAACGCTGTGAAATCAGCCGTCACACTCTCACACTTGTATATAACAGTCACACGAATCGGACACGTCGCCCATCCATCCAAGACCTCTTACAAAAGTTTCCATGGTGAAACTTATTGCCAATCACGGAGGCACAATGACAAGCAGAGTCAACGCGGATATGAAACAACACAAGGCGGACATGGGTCCAGCCCACAGATGCCCAGACTACACATTCGAGAACAGTGTAGAGACATTTTTAGGTTTTATATGCTGTTTATATATATAACTATATTAGTACTATATTATATATTTGAGAGCATGTTGAGTACAACTCTTACAAAGGAACATTCGGTTCAATCATATTGATGTTCCTGGAAAATGGCATTGCGTCAAACCATACGCCACACATGTCCCTAATGAGCAGTCTGCCAGGTAGCGAGAAACACATAATGATGTGAAACACATGCGGTCCTGTAATGCCACGGGTCAGGTCGCAAACCGTTTGACAACAAGTGATAGGCGATAAGGTATGAGGAATACATTACATCCACGTTGAAACGAGTGGAATGGACGTAAGGCAGGGCAACAAAAACATCCCATTGTGATGGAATTTCCAAAGAAAGTAGAGCCGGGGGTCGAATGGCCAATCCAGCAGGACAAATGCATATGACAATTGACAAATGGCTGCTGGAATGGCCTCCAATTTCGTGTTGTTTTGGCGTTTTGATCCCTTCCCTTCCATGTGTTTGGCCGCGCTTGTACGTATTAAATATTCATATATAAATATAATTGTGTTTTACACGTTTCAGTTTCACGATCCTCGTTGATTGTCAAAAACTGTTTGGAGGCATGTTTCCCCATATGTAAAATGTATCCAACATATCGTCACACGCGGTCTGCGTTTGAGACACAAACGCGTCCGATGGAATGACCGCAGCAACCCTTAGTTTTTTGACGCGTGCATTTATTGTCGCAACATTACGTTGTTCGCTGGAGCTTCGTCAGGCTGCATTAGCTCATCAATCACCAGGTTGCCTCAATCTTGGTTTCCATGCGCCAAATGTCCAAAGCCTTTGCTCCCCCTCTGAGTTTTGCAGCGCCATCCAAAAACTCCTGCATGAGGTCGGTTAGTTGGCAACGACAAACCAACCAAACATTTGTGGATTTCAGCCGCGCACGCAAAACTCATCAACATCCACTCGTTGACGTCAATTCTAGAAACCGTATCTCGTTGCCATCGTGCGCGGTTTTTGCAACCCTGCCGCTCCGTGAGGGTGATCTCGCCATCACCGTTGTCTAGAAACTCAAAGAGGCTGAGCAAATCATGGTATTCCAAATCCAACCTTGCAATGCGAAATCTTTCCAAAAGCCAACTGCAACCCTTTGTGGGTTTACTCACTGACTGCACTTCCAAACGTGAATCATGTGTTCGATGGTGCACCAAAAGAAGGGCCCCCAAGTCTCCCCGAACCCAACACCTATTTTTGTAAGCGCCATACGTACTCATCTCACTGGACTTTTGCTGCGCAGTTCGTTGCCAGAAGCAATCACCCAGAACTTGTCAAATGACATCGTAATCAGCACTTCAATCAAAACCTGTGCGACGTCAAGTCAGTAGCACCGTGAGCTGGAGACACTGAAGACTAAGAACAAGGAGAAACTTCAATCTACGTCAACTTACAGTTTCAACCCTGTGATGGCGATGTGTTCTAGCATTTTTGCAGTCACCCGCCCGCTTGCCGCCGGCGCCTGGCCAGTGGTGGCTTTGTTAGGGCAGGACCGCGAGAAACGTGGAACCCGGATTGGATCGGACATTCGTGCTGCAATGACAGCAGAGGTTTGATCTAGAAACCCCCATGACCAGCTCATAAGTGAAGCAGAAGTTTCAATCCCCCTTGGTCGCTCCTGCGATCGCCACCGGCTAAGTGGGGAGGTTCTAAAATTTCACCCACTTTAGGAATCCACCCCTTGTGTCTCGAAGCAACTAAAGGGTATGGATTGTGGGTGTTTCCTTCATCTCTTTCAAGGGCAAGATAGGCGGTTCAAAAGTGGATCTTAAAGTTTCGCCCTCCTTGATCGCTCCTCTGGCCACCGCCGGTCAAGGGGGTGGATCTAAAACTTTTACCCCCGGCAAGAATCCAAAACAGCCGCGCCGACGTTCCAAGAAGGACTAGAAGGACCGGAAGGATCAGGAAGACAAGCTGGATCCGAAGGACGAGGCTAGGAAGAGGCTGACAGCGGCCTGATGGCCTGATGATGGGATGCGGACTGCTTCAGGCTTCGGCCTCATCTTTTAAACCGACCTTCTTTTAGAACATGAAAAGCGCACCGCCATTGACCCCAGGTCTTGATGGCTGCAGTGAGGAGAAGCATGAAACGGTACATCTGCAAAGTGCTACCTGGGCCTTTTTTTGGGGGGTCTTGATAAGACCTACGCAAAACGAATCCTGCTTCCAAGTCGTTGAGGCTCTTGGGGGATGCTCCGGAATTCAAGGCGGTGGTTTCAAAAATGAGCGCCGTAACTGTGCCGCGCTTGAGAATGTTGCATCAGATTTTCTACCTGCTTTGGGGAGTTTTGCATATCGATCCTATGTCTCAACTTCTCTATCTTTTTGGCGACTATCCCAGGTAACTATTATCTTCACTGCTTGAACCAAAATGGCACGTTTGGCTAATGACATGTATTGATATCATGCTATCCGCTAGCCCCTAGCGAGTTTCAACAAAAGTGCCGCTGGGATAGGGTAGTCCAGAACCGCCTAAGTCCACTGCCGAGCATCAATGGTTGGGTGAGCGTTCTTGCGACGACACCGTCATAGCGTGGTTGTACATACTCTGGTTGCTTGCGCTAGAGCAAGGACATGAAACACATGAGAGTCTCCAGGAAATGCATAAATATATATATATATATATCTACAGCATAAGGGGTACACTCCCACTGAATATACATATGTAATAATTTGTAGTATGACCGGTGATCTCCGAAATTCCTAATATGGACCATTACAATGGCCCCAGGATCGCTGCCTACTGCAGAAACGGTCTGAGAGGGACAACGTGTACGAGTACAACAGCAAGGAATACAATTACAAAACGTCCGTGCTTCCAGTCACTACTTTCTCGTCCTTCTCTAGCAAACTTTACTCAACTTCCCCAAAGTTGACCTCCTGCAAGACTTGTGCCAGCTTCAGCAAGCGCGGAGCACACAAACATTCTCACTTGTTATGAGATTCTCACGATAACACACCACTGACCATTGCCAAGGAAATTCAGAAACCTGTGCAACAATCACATTCATGTTCACTCTCGGACGACACGGGTTCGTAGTAGATTAACCCGAAAGGCTCCAGAATTCTAGCCACGCTGTGGTAGTGAGAAAAGTTACAGTACGTACACTTGAAGTGTTCGAAGGTGACCTACTGGGTTGCAGTCGGTCTGAACCAAACAAAAGGGGTACAGCAAGGAAGTTCAAACATCGAAGATCAAAGTGACCTTGACAACCCTACAACCAGCTTTTAAGACTCTAGAGTAGAACGGCTCAGAATTACTTAAGGTCACTTCTAAATGCAAAACGACAACCAACAAATTGGTAGTTATATAACTGATTCCATTCAACATGCGCAAAGCAACGCGCAGCCCCCTACAGAGAGGCGACAACATTCATGCCAAAACCAAACGAGATGTTCCCAGCTATGACCCAATCATCAAGGGAGAAAGGAGGACAGAGGGGACGAAGCAAAGACGGATTCGGCAAGGTGCTGGCTCAAAAGGAACTGGAGCATTGGTGATTGAACCAGCTTTGAAAATTCCTCAAAGTTGATGACACAATCGCCACTCTGGTCCATGGTCGCAAAGAGGTTTTTCACCTGCGGCAGGCATCAAACAATCATGAAAATGCCCCGATGTCATGCTCAGCACACAAATTTTCCTACGCTTCCCCCCAACCCCCAACAAGATGGAACATGGGTAGGCCTGGGTTGCGGGCAACTCCGGACAAGCCGGGCAAGCTGAACACAACCAATCGTTCATCCTTTAGTAGAGACCCCAAACAGTGTGTGTGAGGTCTAGAGGTGAGCGAGCGTGAGCGAGAGTGTCACATTGAGTGAGAGTGAGAGGGAGAGTCAGAGTAGTGTGAGAGTGAGTGCGAGCGTGAGTGAGGAGGGAGGGAAGCGCAAAGTGCTGCGCCTGCCACGAAATCTGCACATCGAGGTCACCAAGATCGAGGTTCACCAAGTGCTGCGTGTGCTACGAAATCCGCACTTTGAGGCTCACAAAGTGCTGCGCCTGCCTCGAAGCCTGCAAACGAGCCACATGTCCAAAAGTCACGTCGAAGACCACCACCGTGTCCAAAGTACTGCGCCTGCCACGAAATCTGCAGCCCGAAGCACAACCGCTCCGATCCCTTGCACCTGTCACGAAAGTTCGACTTTGGACCACCAAAACACGAGGTTTCCCTTGCGCCTGCCACCAAAAGTGACCACCATGTCCGAAAATGCGCACGGCACCACAACGAGAGCGCAGTCGCGACAAGCACCCGCTCCAGCCAACCAGATTTTGCGAGCCTGCGCGGTCAAAATATTTTGAGAGGCTGTTCTGTAACTAGCAGCGAATTGGCCAAACGCCCAGTACAACACCTTGATTAGACACACCGGTGCTTAACTACTACTGTAAGAACCCATAGTGTGTCCACAGTGTTTGGGGAAAATGTAATGTTCACATCGCAATAGTAAAACACGAGTCAGTTCCAAACATCTTCTGTCTACCGAAACCATGCAATGCTAATTAACTCATAAACGAAGGTTACAATAGAGGGTGCGTCAATTAAAGAAATATGATCAATACAATTGTCAACTTGACTTACTCCCCTACAACAATAACCCGCTTTTCTAGTAGGTTGCAATACTAGACTACACGTTCTGCCCTTAAAAAACATGTTTGAGCTTATGTGGCGTATTTAGTATGCATCAATAATGAACTGGACTTGCTCCTCTACAATAACAGACCTACTTTAAACCTCTTTTTAGACAAAATAGTATCTGGAAAGAGCTTAAACTAACCTAAGCAACATCCAAGTTTAAACCTAGCTCAAAACCATCAAACTCTTTATGAAAAAAGTCTAAAAGTCTTGGCAAAAGTACCCCTTACAAGATCTTTTATCAAAAGCTTAAAAGTACCACTTCTATACAATCATCAACCTGCTCAAACCGAACTTTCTCCTGTACAACAGAAACCCTCTTTCTGTCAAATCTTCAACCACTATTTAACCAATTATAGTTTAATTTGATTAGTAATTTAGAGTACCTTTTGTCAAATTCTTTTTACATCAGCTTCAAAAAAAATGGCAAAGGGTGCCCCTTGCGAGTGCCAATGATATACAAACATAATTACAAGTATAAACTACGGTCAAGAAACAATGTCCTTTCAATTTCAACTGTTTCTTAGGTGACAATAAACCGGACTTTCTCCTGTACAATAATGAACTTCCTGTAAACTGTTGCAATGATAAACTAAACTTATCTAAACTTTCTCCTGTGCAATAAAACTATAAAAACTTCTTTCAAGATTTAATGAATTAGTTTTTGAACTACTTTTAAATGTCGATCAGTTTTAGACACTAATCACAAGCTGTCATAGTCCTAAGGTCTGAGGTTCATTATTGCTAGAAGTCTATCATTGCGACGAACAATATTCTTGCAACCAACTTTTCATTTTTTTTTATTGCGTTGTGAACATTATATTTCCATGTGCATGCGTTACTGAGTATTACTGAGCTCAATGTGCAAGGTTTCGGGCCTTGCGGGTATAGGATGCCAATTCTCTCTCTTTCTGCTTGAACGCCAATTCTTCATCGCTGGTAGCCTTGGCTGCTTGGCTTGCCAGTCGCCTACCGCTGGCTTGTTTTGCAAGCCTGCTTGCCTGCTTGTTGGTTTGCCTCCACCGCTGTCCTGGTTCCCAAGCTTTTCTTTTGCTTGTGTATGTCGTTGCATATGAAGCTGCTGGTTCCTACGTTGCGCTACTGAACGTCTCTCCCCACGCAGCGGCGCTGATGCTAATTTGTTAGGTCCCACATTACAGCTTTCCGTGGACTAAATCTTCATTTGGGACCATAATCTGAATCTGTGGATCTCCTGTGGGCGAGTTGAGCGAATTAGGAAAGAGGGGCATATTCTGTGCCATGCTGACCTGCGCAACCAAGCGTCGATTTTCATTGTCTGCTGCACAAAAACGGCATTCACCACATTCCTTCCATGGCAGCACGGGTCCCAACTCCAACACCCTCAACATCAACTAGCAACCATTGCGCTACCCTCCGAGGTGCAGCATCTTGGTTGATGGAGGTCCCTGAAAAGGCAACAAACAAATTTGGAATAATTTGGATCCATCATGAACCACCTGAGTGTGCTCACGTGGTTGGTCCACAGACTTGCTTGATGAGCCAATCTTTTGCCACCTCTTCTTACTTTGAACAGCAGCATGCTAGACTAATTGTTTGCCAAAGGGAATGAATGACCGCGTTCGTTGGTTGTTGAGGACTCTTGGAGTGTTTGGACTGCTGCATACAACGTTTTCACATCAACGATTGTTTGGCGCATTTGACAGTAGGGCCAAGATTCAGCACAGCAAACCCAATGAGGCACCTTGGCAAAGGTTGCCACACAATAATGCGTCAATTTCGTCGTCAAACCGTCAAAACTCACTTGGAGCTGGCAGGTTGAAATCTTAGCAGAAGAACTACCCCATGCCGGTTTACCAACCTTAGGTCTTGGACATCAATCCTTATTACCAAGTACTGATCTCAAAAGAAGTACCTTTTGTTGTTTGACAATGATTCTCTGGAATCACAAGCTTGGGTCACGCCTTTCCAGTGTGGTGAGTCAGTCATCTTGCGTAGCCCCAAAGCAGCCACACGAAAACATTAAAGCACCACATCGACATCAACAATGACATTGACATGCCGTCTTGCCAGCTGTGCACCTGTATATTAAGAAGAACACGGAAAACCATTCGCTGATGTTGTCCACCAGCACGCGGCATGGTGGGCTCCAATTAGCAAAGAGTATTTCCTCAGTTGTCGTACTCGCCGACGTACTTGCGAGAACGGCCTCTGCATGGTGCTTCAGGATGCTTCAGGGACCTAATCCAAGAGGTTATGCGACGAAGCCACTGAAGAGGTCGACCGCGGGAATTCTTGCGCGCATTTTGCCACTTGGGACAACCCCCAACAGAATCACGTCTGCTGAAGAACAAGCGTACAAACTCCAGGCCGAGGGTTGGTACTTAGCAGTGATGTTCTTTCGTTGCCCACATGACATGGCGAATCGTGGGATCTTTTTCAGTGATCCACAAATTTGCACATGAAATATCAAGGACTACGCAAATGTCGGATCCTCCCCATTGACAGTGATCCTTCCACATTAACTGGGCTTTCCGAGTTTCAAACATCGATAGGAAGGTGCGGGTGAAGGTTCCATAGTACCTGCACGCAGGTGCCATCGGATGGGTTCACACTTGGAGAAACAAGGTGTCGAGAAGACTCTGCCACATTTCAGGTCCCAGTCTATCCATTCACCAATCTGATTGGTGTTCCTTGAAATGCTTGAGGCTTTAATAAGGACATGACACGCATTATGTTCTTTTGTGTGTTTGTGTTTGTATCGTACATGTTGAAAGGCTGTTGCCGCTGGCTGATGCAGGTTCCATGATTGCGCCTGAATACATCTATTCGGACACTCAAATCGAGGTTCTCATCCTCGAGTGCGTCTCGAACAAGAGTGGCAGCTACAAGGCCCGCAACGCATTGGAAGAACGTGAGCAGAAGGAAGGTCCAGAAAAGCCTTGGTTCCACAAGACTTTGCCGAAGACAAACAACGAGTCACTCGTCAGAGACAAGTAAACTTCCTTCGAGAACACAACGTCTGACACATGAAAGTTGAGTTTGTTGGCGATGAGCTCCAACAAAGTCCAAGTTGCATGGTGGTACTAGAGACCAAACACCGAGTCAAGATTTGAAGCGACTGAAGCCTCGGGTCACAAAAAGAGTGTGAGACAAAAAAGTCATGGGTGTCAGTGATTCACGGACAGAAACAGTTTCTTACCGCCCGTTTGACCCTTGGCATCATGGACAGAATATCAAGCCACACGCTATTCATGGCCACCATCCGGATAGCTCTGGCCAGCTTGCCAATCCGCAGCAAGCGGAAGAGCCTCAGAAGGCTGGTTGCAGCAAATGGATGGGTAATATCTAGTAGCGTCCTTGCTCCTAGAAGGCCAGGAGCCCCTAGTAGCGTCCTTGCTCCTAGTAGCGATGCCA